CCTTAGTCCTGTCAGGCATCTGAAAAGTAATCCAATATCAATCCTGCCCTTAAAGATACGACTGTCCAAAGGAGAAGATAAGACACTTATTTAAAAAACACAATAATAAGAATAAAAAGTGAAGGGAGGGTATAGCTCAGTGATAGACTGCATGCTTAGCACGCATGAGGTCCTGGGCTCAATCCCCAGTACTGCCATTAAAATTTAACAAAATTTTTTAAAAACCTAATTAACTACCCCCCCAAAACAAACAAACAAACAAAAAGTAGTAGGAGTCACAAAAGAGGTAGAGACACAGTTATCCAAAGGTAGGAGAGATTCCAGCAGGAGAGTCTGGAAATCTTATAGAGGTGGCATTAATGATTCTTTCAAATAATTAAAAAAAATTTTTTTTGAGAGTCTGGTTTGTACCAGCAATAGTGCTAGGACCTGGAAAATAAATGCACAGTAACAGAAGGCAAATGCTTTCCCTGAGTGAGCGGATGGTCCGGGAACAGATAGGCACACAGATGATACATAAGTAACACAGAGCACAGCTGCAGACGGAGAGACCAGAGGAACAGGGAGGAGGAGGATGCCGAGGGTCTTGGAAGAAGACGGGGGAGATGCCAGGGCACCGAGGGGGGTGCAGGCACCGAGTGGGGGGTGAGGAACGAGAGTTAGGGCGCGGGGCGGGGGGAGGCAGAGAATATTTTTAGAGGGGAGGACAGCTCCAGAGCTGTTCTTTAGAGGGATAAATCTGGCCGCAGACTGGAAGAAAAGCTGGAGGGAAAAGACTTGAAGGCAGAAAGGCACCAGCGGGGCGATCACGGCGGCAGTCAGAGATACTGGGCGGAGATGGTCCACTGGATCCACGAGCCTTCAAAGGAGGCTGGTTGCGGGGTAAATCATGGGCGGTCTGGGTCAGATGTGCTGAGTCTGAGGTGGTGGCGAGGGGGCCAGGGGAAAATCCCGGAGACGGGTGTGAATTTGTGAACGGAGTTATGAAGAAGGGTCGCACTTAGGAGGCTTCTGCCTGGGTAAGAGTCATAGGCACGAGAACAGAGATGCTCTGCCAGGGGGGTGAGGGGACGTGGAGAGAAAAGCAGGGGGAGCCCGGACCCCTGGAAGTCTTCCACCGCAGAGGAGAAGGGGCGGAGGCGGAGGGTTACCCGGGACGAGCAAGGTCCCAGAACGAGCCGTGCTGCCCGGGCTGGGGCACGGGGACCACGGGAAGCTGCCGCGGCGGCCCACAGGCCCTCGTCCCACGTCATTACCTTTTTCGGCGTCCCCAGCACTTGGCAGATTTTGAAGATCGTGTCGATCTCACTGGCCCCGGGGAAGAGCGGCCGGAGGGTGTACACCTCTGCCATGATGCAGCCCACCGCCCAGATGTCGATGGGGGAGCTGTAGTTGGTGGACCTCAGCAGCACCTCCGGGGCCCTGTACCTGGGGCGCAAAGGAGAGACGTGCTAGTGCCAGGGACGCGCCCAGAGGCAAGCTAAATACAGTCAACCCTCCGGGCGAGGGTTTCTGTATTTCCGTCTTCTGCCTAGTTCAGGGCGGTGCAGGGATAAAGCCCTGCCTCTCTGCTTCCCGGGGTTTTCTGTCGAGCATTTCTCCACCGGCCTCTTCTCTACAGCACCTTGGAGAAACACAGGCAGTGAGCGAGGGCAGGAAGAGAGACAGCGAGAGAGGAGGGAAAGGGAGCGAGAGAGAACCAGAACTGGTCCTCTGTAGGCTCTTCTTGGTCATGGCCAACCGCTCAGATCAGACTCGTGGGGTCTGAACATTTTAACAGCATCAGTTCGCAGGTTTTCAGACAAGGTGTTTGGACCATCTTTTACACGACTCTTTTAGCAAAGGTCTTCTGGAAGCTCTAAATATGTAATATTATTTAGATTATGGAAATGTGCAATGCACTTCCTTTTAAAATGATTTACAACACAAACTTTGATGTGTTTATTTATTATTAATTTAATTTTTTAAATGGAGGTACTGGGGATTGAGCCCAGGACCTTGTGCATGCTAAGCATGTGCTCCACCACTGAGCTATACCCTCCAGATTTTTGTTGTTTCTTTTGGAGTGGAGGGAGTTTAGGTTGGTTGGTTGGTTGGTTTTTTTATGGAGGTACTAGGGATTGAACTGGGGACCTTATGCATGCTAGGCATGCTTTCTGCCACTGGGCTGTACCCTCAACCCCAGGCCCTCTTGCGTGCTAAGCCTGCACTCCACCTCTGAGCTACACACACTCCAACACAAGCTTTTAAAGCCTGTATGGGGGTGGGGAATAGCTCGGTGGTCGAGCCAGAGGCTTAGCACGCATGAGGTCCTGGGTTCAATCCCCAGTACCTCCATTAAAAAACAAAACAAAACAAAACTAATTACCCCCTCCCCACAAGAAAATAAATAAAACATCAAATTCTTTTAAAAATTAAAAAAATCAAAATATAATTAGGAAAAAAAGCTTGTACAATGCCACCATCCCTGCATATATGTTTCAAACTGTGCTCTTTCTCATAGTGAAAACTTAGTATTTCTGACATTGATATTACCCTCAGTATAACTGTATGGTCTTTAAAAATAAGAAATGCAAATATTAATACTATCCTTAATACTATGATATTTAAAAATTTTTTATTGAAGTGTAGTTGATTTACAATGTTAGTTTCAGGTGTACAGCAGTGATTGAGTTATACATATACGTACATATATATTTTCTTTTCAGGTTCTTTTCCTATAATGGTATGTTTTTAAAGAAGTGCAATTAAATAATTTTGAGGAGGATGGGACTCACCATCTGGTAGACACATAGTCTGTGTATGGAGGTCTTGAGCGGATTTCTCGGGCCAATCCAAAGTCTGCGATTTTCACAAGCTCGGGTCCCATACAGAGGAGGTTCTCCGGCTTTAAGTCCCGATGGAAGAAGCCTGTGGAGGTAGGGGAGAAGGAATCCAGAGGTGAGATTGCGTCTGCATTACTCTTTGCAGCTGTAGTGCGTGACAGCAGTGATCTGCAAAGTAGTCTGGTGTGACACTGAAGCCTCCGAAGATGTCAGCTGTTCCTCCGCAACCTCTGTGCTGAAGTGCTCAAGTCTACACCTGCTCCAGACTCACGTCTCTGATGGGATGGCAGCTGATGTCACTGTCACCCCCACGTCGACCTGTCCCAAACCCCTCTTCTCCTCTCCCAAATCATCTCCTCTTCTTGCAGCTTTGTACTTCCACAGAGGAAGTGTGCACCCACGAAATGAGAGCAAAGATTCTGGTTCCCCATATATCCCACCAAGCAGCTTTCCTTCCTATGGATCATACTTCAGGCCCAAAATAAACTGCCAGATGGAAAATGGCAAGGAAAAAGGTTTAACTCCAAACAGAATCTTTTTTTGTTTAAATGGAGGTACTGGGGATTGAACCCATGGACTCATGCATGCTAAGCGTGCACTCCACTACTGAGTTACACCCTCCCCTGCAAAAAGACACTTAAAAACGACTGATGAAAACTGTATTTGTCAGTTGACATAGGTCGTCTGTAATGCTGTATAAGCCTTTATAACTGGGAAGCATTTGTGACTCTGTCTTTAGCATATCCAATCCTCTGTTCTTTTTATCACCAAATAATAGCAATAATTATGATCATCAGCCATATACCCAAGAGTTCTGTTCCTTGGCAATGAAAAGACCCTCTTGTCATGTCCACTTACTTTTCATCTCCATTTTAACAAAGCATCACTATTTCATTGCTATGAGAGGCAATGCTGCCTCGTGGTAAAGCTGGCAGACCAAGAAGGTTGCCTGATTTCAAATCCCAATTCTGTTCATTGGCTGGCAAATCACTTAACCTCTCTGTGCTTTCCTCATCTGTAAAACAGGGGAATAACAGCATCTACCTCGTGGGGCTGTTTTGCAGGTTTCAGTGTGTTAATATTTGTAGAGTTCTGAGTGCAGGACGTGGGACAACGGCGCCTTGCAAGAGCTTGTTGTGAGCAATGCAAATCCTCTCATTTTATCTCCCTGACAACCTGCTTGGGGCAGGGAGCAGGGAGGGGCAGACAGACAGGGTTCCATTTTTTGCAGATAAGAACTAAGGCTTACAAGGCTGGTGACATGTCCCACCACCTGTGGGAGGGGGCGCTAGGTTCCGATCTGATTCCTCGCTGGGTACGTGTGCAGGGCTTGTCGCAGTGAACCCACTTCTTCCCATGCGCTTGGGATTCCCAGTGGAAACCCTCATCACTGGGTCATTCAGCAGTCATGCAACAGCCCCGTGCTGCTGACACAGAATCTTCCTGTTCGAAACTGTTTGGCTTTCAGAATACAGGAACAGACCTTCAATTCAATTCCAGGGTCCCCCATGCCCGTGGAATCAGAGGGATTTCCTCTTTCATCCTGGCAGAAAATGTGTTGTGCTTGCTTTTTTATTACCAACCCCTGGGCAAGAAAAACCTCAAACCACAGAGAAGGCTTTCTCCCCTCCACCACATCCTGTTCATGATGAATCTGATACGAATGTATGGAAATAACCAGAGACCACTTCAACATGGTAAGTTTCTGTAGCCCACCTTCCTGCTAGGGAAGGTATGGTTTCACAGACATCACTGAACTTGAGCCTACGGAGCTTTTTATCAAGGCCATGAGGACAGCCACACAGAAAGGCCAAGGGCTGACTCAAGGTCAGGCACGGCAAGACAGTGGTGAAACAGCCACATCTCGGGGCAAAACACTGTCCTCCGAGCCACCGAAGGCATTTCAGACATCCTGAATGGAGATCTGTTAGGGCAGGGCAAGGATGAAACCCGGGTTGCGTCCATTATTTAATTCCTGCAATGTACTCATGTGTGGGCCTTGCTCAGTCTGCACCAAGTGGAGCTGTGTTTTCACTCCCTGGGGGGAAAGGAGTCACTGACATGAACTACGGCCATAGCAACAACCCGCAGCGCTGCTCTGCCCTCCCAGAGGATTCCACTCCCAGGGACTCGAGGTACCTTGGCACGGCGAGAACCAGCTAACAGGGAAGAGCCTGAAGCTCACAAGACGAAGCTGTGATGCGCTTTCGATGATTTTTTTTTCCGTTACTGGAGGAAAGGGACCCTACAAAGCTCCAGAGTTAAGTCAACACTGTCTAAAACCATGCAAGACTTTTCAAAAATCATTTATCAATGAAAAGGAGGTAGGACCTGCCCAATGAACACCCACCCCCACCTCCAATTACTGTCACCACTTTCTTCATCTCTTGTTCTCTGTTCTCTTTAAGAGAGAGGTTTTTCTAGTGAAGCGCAGCAAAGGGGCACAGATATCTGAGCTAATCTCCGCTCTGCCACGCTCATGCCGTGGGGCCTCGGGCGGGTGTTTAAACCTCTCTGAACCTCAGTCTCCTCTTCTTTGAAAGGAATAGATGCCATCTACCCTCCCCACTCAGGAAGTTGGCAAGGAAATAAATAAGGTAACAATTGAAACGTTATCAAGCTCAGACTAGAACTGGCACTTAGCTGCGGGGAGGACGTCAGCAAGAATCTCTGCGCAAAGCATGGTTATGGGGTCGTAAGGGCAAAGCAGGTCTGACCTTGTCCGGAAACGGTGCCTTCCCCGTGCCCTTTCCACACACCATCTGAGTGTGTAAGGCGTGCAAGGGAGACTGACAGTGCAGAGCTCCAAAGAGCTGTTTTGACACAGTAATTTATGGGTGCTCAATTACTAGACACAAACGTGTATTGTGTGGGCATACTCATGTGTATTTGTGGGTGTTGTGGGGAGTGTATGCGTAGGTACATGTGCACATGCAAGGTTGTGTGTGTGTGTGTTCATTTGATGGGTTTAGGCAGAGACCTGGATCAAAGGCTACAAGTTCTTCCCAGCAACAAATATTTCAGTCTCATGAAAAGCAACACAAAGAGAAAGAAAAGTCAACGCATGTTAACTTTCTCATAGGTCCACCGCTCCGTTTCCAGTACTGACCGAGGAGCCCGAGTCACTGAGACACTGACTGGTCCCTATTTGAAAACGTCTGGTTGGCCATTCTCTTTGGAGAATCCCTCTGATTCCTCACCATTTCTTCTTCCTGACCTCTCAGATCTAGTAAGTGATCTGTCTCCTCCCATTTGTCCCTAAGGCACCAAATCAGCAGTTTTCAGCATTTTGCAAACTCATACCATCCCTTGGGAATTCTTGTGACTAGAGGCAAAAGTGCTCCTTCCACCTGCGTCGGTGGAATCAGAGATACCTTTTACTGAAAACTTTTTAAGAGAATTGGTTCATGGTCTTACACATGACCTGCCAATTATTCAGAGCGTGCTCGAGGCTGCCAGTGTACAGCCAGCCTCTGTCTGTTGGTGTTTCAGTTAGTCTCTAAGTGCGAGGGGCTGCTTAGGGGTCACAGAGCCAGCTGGGAAGGGTCCCAGACATCCCACCCACTGGCTGCAGCACAATGTCTTCTCCCCTCACTGCCAGGTTGTGTCAAATCTGAACGACTGTATCGTCAAAGGGCTTCCTCCCAGTCTCCTTACTGGATAATGAGACTCACCTGTTGGCGCAGTATTTGCAGCAGCCACGGTACCTTAGACTGGGAGCGAACGGATTTCTCCCCATGCAAGACTGGCCGCCTTGCCCATCTGTCTGTCTGTCAAAGCAACCTCAAATGGCCTCCTGAGGGGGACCCCTGCCTCCACCAGTGGACCTGTCCATTCCCAGGCTCTGCGTTTATGAGAAAGTATCGATCCAACCCCAGCTGGGTCGGCGTCCAGTTAGCAACAAAGACTAGCAATACCGCAGGACTTGCTGGAAATAGAACCTCAAAGGCATTGCTACTCAGTACCGTTCAAAAGCGCAGTCAAGAGGACTTCCTGAAGGGTATGTGACTGTTCATTCCTCTGGGTGCTCTAAATCCGTCCTTGAACTCACCAGACCATCCCTGCAGTGAATCATTCTGGGCCCCAGGAGGACCATTTTCTCAGATCAGGTGATGTAACTGGCCTACGTTGAGAGAGATGACCTGAAACTAGCCCATGTAACCTGTCACCTGTGTTCACCTTGAAGCCACGTTATGTAAGGGTCCACAAGAGAAACCTCTCTGGCATTAGCACCAAGAGCAGTTCCACTTTTCTTGGGCAGTTGAACTGCTTTTACTTCAGAGAAACTATGCAGATTGTAAATGGTCGTGTTTCACATTCTGCATTGTCTGACGGCAAACTCAGATTCAAATTTTCTACTTAAAAAAATTTGCTGATGTGTCTTTTGTGAATCAACCTCACTCCTGGCTATAGCCATGCCTTGTTTTGCCTTTTTTTGTGCTTATTTTAAATTCATTTTGTTTTCTGGTGTTGCATAAATCTTGTTAGACAGCTTTGCACCTTTCGAACAAGCTGTAATTGAAATACATTAGGAAAACGGGAAGCCACAGCAAAACAAAGTTAGTGGATTAAATATCACATGCGAAGCTTTTCTGAATTCTAATTTTAGGTTTCTCATTCACACACCAGTTAAGGGTCAGGAATAATTCTTGGATTTAGAACTAACAAGCTTAACGTTAGTGCCTAAAGAATAGGAACATGTGGACATGATTGAAAAAAAAGAGAGAGAAATTCAGAACAAGCTACATAAAATAACATACTCCAAAATCCCCTGTCAGTCTCGCAACTGGTCAATTTCCGGGAGTCAATAACAAAAGGCACTGACAATTCCTGCATCTGCTACCTGGTGACATTTCGCTGCTATTCAAAAGCACAATACTCCAATCCACCTACCGTGTTTGTGAATAAATGCAAGTCCTTGCAATATCTGATACATGATATTTCTTATAGCGGACTCAGGAAACAACTTATTTCTGTGTGGGGCAGAGGAAAAAAAAGTCATAAATCGAGATTTACATATGAAAACAAATCCCTTGTTTTCATGTTCTTTT